TGATTGTGTAAAGTTGCTGGTATATCATGGTCTTAGACCAAGAATATTTTCAACACTTTTTTCCAATATTATCTAGCTCTAGGTCAGACAATTTCAATACTTCTATTATCTTCAAATGGCAATGTCAGTCATAAAATATCAAGAAACTATAGTACTAAAATTTTCCAAGCTCTTTTGTCATTCAAATTATTTTTTCTCAGGTCTCCTTTTGAGAAAGGTGGTTTTTCTTTTTGGTCTTTCATCCTGTTGTTTTTTTCCTTTCCTTCTATTCATCCTGTTCCCCAGAATAATTTTCTCTGAAGGAAATTAGGCATGATTTCTATCAATGTCTATTAAGCTTGGTTTTCACCTCTGCTGCTCAAAGAATTCTGAATAGCCAGAGCAGATATAATAACCAGTTTTTAAAAACTGATTTATCTGCTACTGAATGTTTATTTTACTTTTGGAAAACGTTAGCCCTCTTTTTACCCCCTAGAAAATAGACATGAATGCATAATTTCTCATACTTCATAGCCACTCCACTGGTATCAGAAACAGCGAAACTTTTGGAAAATGCAGCAAGACATAGATGGTGGAACAGTGTGGAGTTTTGTGCAAAACTACACTAAATTTCATACTATGGATGGCGTCTTCAGAGATAAGGATTTGGATAAAATTGTAATAGCCACAGAATTTTCCTTCCTTTACCTCACAAGAACAAACTAGTGAGGTGACAGGATTTTCCCAACTACTCCAAGTCATCTTATTTCTACCAATTCAAATAGATCGTTCAGAATCGTCTCAAAGAAAGAAGGGTTTCCCCAGGCAAAATACTGAAAATTTGTCGTTTTCAGGTCAAATTTCTTTCCTAAATAAAAGAAGCTGCTATATTTTCAGGAACTGTTTCCTAAGACTTATTTTTTTTTTCTGAAGACAAATCTGAGAATTTTTTTTTCAAGTTTGTTTTTTTTTATTTTTTTTAATTTTTTGTTTATTGCAGTAACATTGGTTTATAATATTGTAAAAATTTCAGGTGTACATCACCTAAGACTTATTTTTAAATTTCGAATTATCTTCAGTTCGTTCAAAAGGTGCTTATTTGGGAATTTAGAACCAGTACTGTTCTCTTCCTTGTATGTGCATGTATTTGTAAATATGGCATTAACAAAATAAGTAACTCCTTTAAGTTACTGGAGCACTTCTGAGTTTTCCATAACAAGGTCTGGGATTCCCTGATTTGAGTTTTTTTTTTTTCTGTTTTTCTTTGGTGAGACAACAAACCAATATTTGCGTTTAATTAAGCAAGCCCAGCTGTCTCAGTTTCAGTTGGTTGAGCCTCATCAATTTTGTCCGCGTGCCTCTTGAGCGTTTTGGGGTAGGAGTGGCGGCGACTGCCTTCCTACACAAGCCCGATGGACAGACGCAGCTCGGGAAGGGGTTCGCTTGCCCTGGACAAAGCTCTGAGAAGCGGCCGCGACGACGCTAACCAGCAGACCAAAGCGAGCGAAGAAACCCAGCACCAGGACACCCGTCGGACTCACTCACGCCCAGAAGCTCAGCTCTCTCCCAAGAACGGCCGCCCCATCCCGCGCACGCGCAGCCGCTCCCGCCGTCCCCGGGGCGGGGGGGGGGGGGTCTTCTCCCGGCCCCGGGAGGGGCTGTCCGCGGCGGCGCCTGATCTAGCGGGAGAGGTACTGTGAGGACAGGCTGCCCTGGCGCAGTTTTCCCTGACGTGTTGTCGAGGCCAGGAAGGAGGCACACGTGTAGAGTGCCTCAGAGGGGTAGCCATGGCCGAGAGGAGAGACCCCTGCAGCGTCGGGGGTTCGGGCCCGCAGGCAGTGCAGGAGGCGCTCAAGCGGGGTCCTCCCTCGGGCGAGCTCTGAGCGGGAGGCCAGAGCCAGGAGCATTGGCGAACCTGCGAATTCCAGGTGGCTGAGGCGCGGCGCTATGGAGGAGCTCGATGGCGAGCCGACAGTCACTGTAAGGGCGTCCGGAACAGTCTTGCTTGCGCTCGCGGTGCGAGGATTGAGTCTGCTCCGTCCCTGCCGGCTTATCTACCTCCCTGCCGCTCGAGAGGCGCCCGTCCCCTTCCCTCAGCTTAATTGCCGCTGTCCGGGGGTCATATTAACTAGGTGCCTGTGTTTGGGTCACAGTGATCGCTGGGTTTCTGCTCCTTTGTATACTCAGAATACCTGGCCCCGGAGCCCCCACCTCATCCCTCTCCTTTCCTTGTCTGTCTTCCCTACCTTCCTCCTTCCCTCGCTTTTCCTCTTGGGCTAATGCTCTAATGAATGGGCTCGGACCAAGCAGAGGAATCCGGGCTTTTTTCCTCCAGCCGAACTAAGCTTCACATCGCAGCGCCGTTAGCTTGGCTTCTGCTTGTAGTGCCGTGCTGGCCCGAGGTTTATCTATCTCTCGGGAGTCTGTTCCTGTTTTTATTGCTCTGTTTGCTTTCAATTTTATTTGTACTCTGAAGAGAGTATGTCAAGTGTGAATGATCTATGATGTTTATAAAGAGATTCATGGCTTTTAGATACGAGATATCTACTGTTGCCCCTGTCTAGAATGCTCTTCTCTCTTCGGTTTATCTCTTGTTCACTTTTCAAATGCAAGCTCCAGCAGCCTCTTGCTCAGGAAAGCCTTCTCTGACCTCCCTGACTAGGTCACATATCTCCGTCTCCCCGTTATAGGCTGGTTCTGCACCTCCTAGCTCTTGGTAACCTATAAGCCCCACTAAACTGCAAGTTGCCTGACCTTGCGTTTTTGCTTTTTAGAAAGTTGAAATGCCTACAGTTTTCAGCTAAAGGCATCACATTGCAAAGCAGTGTCTGACAAAACCGGAAATTGAAAAAAGGGTCATTTCAAAGCTAACTGGATGAAAGGAGACATAAGAGCTTAAATAACAGTTAACATGGGTTGTTACTCTCTGTAAAGCTTACTGCTATAGAGTGTGTTAAACTTTAAAACATATAGAAAGTACTTTAAGTATTAAATATCCATCAAGGACTATGTCAGTGTTTGCAGGAAGAAAAATTAGAATATCAGAATCACTGGAACTTTTTCAAACTACATGTCATCTTGCCTTTCCCTCCTCCTCTTACATCATAATCTGGTTGGGGAAACCTTCCCAGTACGCTGTGCAACACTGGAGAGCCACTACTTTGATAATGAGCCATGCATTTACAAGTGGAATGAAGATAATCTAAGCTTATTTTTATCCCCAGTAGTGATGATTGATTTGTGATAACCCAGCTGTACACTGGTATTGGGGAGACCAGGTAGGAAACTGGTTGGTCTTGTGGGTACAGCCTCACAGAGGGATATTATCTTGGTAGAACTCCATAGTCTCGAGTCTGAATCTCAGCTCTGCAAGGTCAAACTCGGTCATGTCTGTATTTGAGAGTTAGTCTGCTCTTTGGACTAGAGTCTGCTCTACACACTCTCAAGAGACTGATGTATAATCCTACCATTAAGTCACCTTTTGTAGTGGTTGTGTCTGTTCTTCATGCAACTGCTTCCTATTATCAAGGCACATGAAGGCTAGTTAGTAATTAGCAGATTCAAGGATGTTTTAAGTATAGATTCAGAGTAGAGAGTAGAATAATCTAAAGTAGTTTTTCTAGACCTTATCCTTTTGGTTCAAAGACTCAAGAAACGTAAGCTGCAGTTTTTGTTGCCTTTTTTTGTGTGTTTGTTTCTGGATAAATACCTAGAAATGGAATTGCTGGGTTATAGGACAGGTGCATATTTAGCTAAAATAAACTATCAGTTCTCCAAAGTGGTTATACCATTTTTTTTTGCACCAGCAAAGTGTGAGAGTTCTAGTTCCACATCTTTGTCAACTCTTTGTATGGTCAGTCTTTTTAATTTTAGCCATTGCCGTTCTAGTGGGTATATAGTGGTAGCTTATTATTATTTCCATTTGTGTTTCCCTAGTGATGAAAGATATTGAGCATCTTTTTATGTGTTTACATGTCATTTGTATATCTTCTTTGGTGAAGTGTCTGTTAAAATCTTTTGCCCATTTTGTTATTGGGTTTCCTTTTTTTTTTTTTTTTTTTTTTTGATGAGGAAGATTGTCCCTGAGCTAACACCTGTGCCAGTCTTCCCCTATTTTGTATATGGGATGCTGCCACAGCATGGTTTGATGAGCGGTGCGTAGGTCTCTGCCGGGGATCCAAACCAGTGAACCCTGGGCCGACAGAGCGGAGTGTGCAAACTTAACCGCTGTGCCACTGGACTGGCCCCTGTTACTGGGTTTCTTAACGAATTGTAAGAGTTCTTTATATATTCTGGCATCAAGTATGTATTTTGCAGATATTTTCTCCCAGTTTGTGGCTTGCTTTTTCATTCTCTTAACAATATCTTTAAAGAGCAAAAGTTTTTAATTTTGATGAAGTCCAGTTTATAAATTTTTCTTCTATAATTTGTGCTTTTGGTGTCCTATTTTTGCTGACTTTACAGTCAGAAAGATTTTCTTCTGTGCTTTTGAAGTTTTGTAGATTTTGCTCTACATTTGTGTCTGTGACTAATTTTTAGTGACTTTTTGTCTATGGTGTGAGGTTCATTTTTTGCATATGGCTACCCATCTGCTCCAGCACCATTGTATATAATGCTTCCCCCTTGCCTGGCCTACTCATCCTTTAAGAGTTTGCTACAGCAGATGCTCTCCTGTGTCTACCTCTGGCTTAGCAGTTCTCTACTTTTCTTACTGCCTGTTTGTTTATTGGTCTTCTTTAATAGACCTCTAGCTTTTGGAAGGCAGAGACTGTATTACACATTCTTGTATTCCTAGAGCCCAGCACAGAAAAAGGCTTAACAAACATTGCTTAGTTGTTGAATATCTGCTTTAGCCCTTCCTAAGAACCGAATGCACTTTTCTTGAGACTAGACTACTGTCAGCCAAATTCATTGTCTGCCAAAAATATTTGTGGAGTGCCAGAGTCCCTTCTAAGTAGTGAATGAAAATCCTTGAGTCCTTGTGAGCTTTTGTCTATGGGGCAGGTAATAACCATGTAGGAGAGTCATTTTAGGCACTGAGAAATGCTCTTGCAGTGGTCCAGATAAGAGTTGATGGTAGCTTAGATTAGACTGGTAGAAGTGGTAAGTGGTAGGACTCAGGCTTGCTTAAGAGTAGAACAGGATTCACTTATAGACTGGACATAGGTGGTGAGAGAGAGAGGAGAATCAAGGATTACTCCTAGTAGTTGGGGAAGGCTTTGTCCCAGTGGGTGAGTGGAATGAGGTTTGGGAATGAGGTTCAAGAGTTCTTTTTTTGGCTCTTGATGTTATGAATATAGCTCTAGAGGTTAGGTAACCTGTAAAGGTGTGGATTAGGCAGTTGGATGTATGAAGCTGAGGCTCTAAGGAATTGGTCTGAGAGAGAAAAATTGAGAGTCATCATCAAAGAGATGGCACAGAAGCTGTGGGCTTGGAGGTCTCTCTTTTTAGTGAGTAACAAATAGTTCAGCTCCTTTTTTATTTCTTTAACTTCTCTTTTTCTGAACTACAGATCACTAAATTACAATATAGTAATTGATTAGAGAGTAGCTTTCTTTTTTATCAGCACTTGAAAAGTGGCAGGCTGGGTTGAGGTGCCCAGAAAATCTCACTTGCTTATTCAGGTGACACTGGGCTGATCTCAGCCACACTCAGCTGTTTACATAGATTAGCACTTAATAACTTTCATGGCCACTGATTTCTAGGCTTTTACTCACAAGTCAGTTGAAAGCAAATTTTGGTAAGAATAACAGTTTCTGTGCCTTATTTTTTACTAGTTGATTCCAGGAGTGAATTCCAAGAAGAAACAAATGTGTTTTGACTGGGGTCCAGGGGAGATGCTGGTGTGTGAAACCTCCTTCAACAAAAAAGGTAGTTATTTTTCTTTTTAATTCCCAGTTATCCATTTTGGCACATTTGGTTATTTTTTTCTTTATTCACTCAGATTTGACTAGCTGAAGTATGAAACAGCTGAAATTATTTTGTACCATTTTCATTACTGAAACTTTAGCTCTTTAAGATTTTCATTGATTTATGAGACCTGGCAGATGTTGAGTCCAGGAAAAAAAAAATAACAATAGTCTTCCTGATGTTAAAGGTTTTCTTTACATTTAAAACTTCAAGCTTTTTTTACCTTCTTATCCAGAGGGACTAAATTCTCTTCTTAGTAGCCCCCTTATTGTGAAACTTTGCAGATCTCATAGCCCTTACCTTTGTGTTATCGTTGTGAACTCGATTGAACTCTGTAGGCTATTCTGTAGGCTGTTGATACATAGCACAATGAGCTGGAGAGTGAAATGACTTGTCCTTAGCTTTGTTTTCTAAGCTCCATCAGATATTGGACATGGATCTTTTTTTCTGATACAGACTCCCTCTAGTAGCCAGAGAAAACTGAAATCTTGAGCCATCTCTGAGGGCCTAGTAGTTAAAGTTCAGCGTGCTCCTCTTTGGTCGCCCAGGTTCGGTTCCTGGGTGCAGAACCACTCCACTTGTCTGTTGGTAGCCGTGCTGTGGTGGCAGCTCACATAGAAGAACTAGAAGGACTTACAACTAGAATATATGTACTGTACAACTATGTACTGGAGCTTTGGGGAAGAAAAAGCAAAAAAGGGAGGAAGATTGGCTATAGATAGCCAATGTTAGCTGTTTAGCTCAGGGCAAATCCCGCCTTTTGCCGCCCCCCCCAAAAAAAAACAAAAACAAAAACAAAACTGAAGGCTTGACATTTGATTTTGCTTTCTCTTTTTCAAGGGAGAAGTCTCAGGAAATGTTGAAGAGGTTTTCTTGCATGTCTTTGACAGGTTCTTTATCCAAATGTGGAGGTTTTCTTCTTTTATAAGGACCAGATTGAGCTAATGAAAGTCTTAACAATTTTGGCAAATTATATGGTGTGCAGTTCATGGAATTTTTTTTTTATATAATTTTATTTATTTTTCCCCCAAAGCCCCAGTAGATAGTTGTATGTCATAGTTGCACATCCTTCTAGTTGCTGTATGTGGGACGCGGCCTCAGCATGGCCGGAGAAGTGGTGTGTCAGTGCACGCCCGGGATCCGAACCCGGGCCGCCAGCAGCGGAGGGCGTGCACTTAACCACTAAGCCACGGAGCCGGCCCAAGTTCATGTAATTTTTAGGTGATGTAGTTTTTCTTGATTTTATAGTTAAGAATTATCCCTAGTATTGCTAAATATTTATGGGATATGTTGGTATTGAAGATCTCAAGCTTGGCAGAGCTGTGGAATCTATTAAAGGGGCGGTTGCTCAGAAGAGAAACTTCTGTGACTATGTCTGTATGACCTCTTTTCATACTTAATGGGAAAGCTTATCAACATTTCTAGTTCGTCTTCAATTGTTGGGAACACAAGGCTTTTTTTCTTTTTTTGTTTATATCTATTGAAATCACATTCAAGACAAGTGATTTGGGCCGGCCCCGTGGCTTAGCGGTTAAGTGCTTGCGCTCCGCTGCTGGTGGCCCGGGTTCGGATCCTGGGCGCGCACCGACGCACCGCTTCTCTGGCCACGCTGAGGCCGCGTCCCACATGCAGCGACTGGAGGGATGTGCAACTATGACATACAACAATCTGCTGGGGCTTTGGGGGGAAAAAATAAATAAATAAAATCTTTAAAAAAAAAAAAAGACAAGTGATTGAACATCATCACAACTTGTTTGAGAAGCTAGTTCTATAAGAAATTTCCATAAGTTGATGGTTTATAGTTTATCATTATGGAACCTTTTCATTGCTGTTGCAAAATAGTTTAGTCAATTCTTGATTCTTTGTTGTAGGGGTAATGACAGTACAAAGTAATATAAAAATAATATTTACTTGACTTTGAGGTTATATAAAACTTTGGCTTATTTATCAAGTTTTTCATAGGCTAATATTGAGTTTATTTTTTTCAGTATATTTCAATTGACGGAGGTGAAAGGTAGTTCCAAAATAAGTGAATTGAGGAGTAAAGTCTGAGAATAAGCATTTGCGTGTTTTTTTTTTTTAATCTCTGTTTCTTTCTTTCTTTTTTTTTTTTTTTGTGAGGAAGATTGGCCCTGAGCTAACATCTGCCAATCCTCCTCTTTTTGCTGAGGAAGACTGGCCATGGGCTAACATCCATGCCCATCTTTCTCCACTTTATATGGGGTGCCACCACAGCATGGCTTGACAAGCGGTGTGTCGGTGAACGCCTGGGATCTGAACGGGCGAACCCTGGGCTGGGGCCGCTGCAGCGGAGCGCGCACACTTAACCGCTTGCGCCACGGGGCCAGCCCCCAGCATTTGTGTTTAAAAATTCATGTGTGGGGCCGGCCCTGTGGCTTAGCAGTTAAGTGCGCGCGCTCCACTACTGGCGGCCCGGGTTCGGACCCCGGGCGCGCACTGATGCACCGATTCTCTGGCCATGCTGAGGCCGCGTCCCACATACAGCAACTAGAAGCACGTGCAAGTATGACATACAATTATCTACTGGGGCTTTGGGGGAAAAACAGGAGGAGGATTGGCAATAGATGTTAGCTCAGGGTTGGTCTTCCTCAGCAAAAAGAGGAGGATTAGCACGGGTGTTAGCTCAGGGCTGATTTTCCTCACAAAAAAAAAAAAAAAATTCATGTGTGGATAATTGATAAATGATAATTTATATAATTTTTAATAAGTTAAATCAGTGTCAAAGAAGCTGAAACTTTTGTAATTAGATACTCAATTAAAACTTTTAGAGTGGGTTCTTTTATGAGGGTGATAGTGATGATATTAAGCTTTTTTTTCCTGTTTTGTTTCAGAAAAATCAGAGATGGTGCCAGGCTGCCCCTTTATCTATATCATCCGGAAGGATGTAGATGTTTACTCTCAAATCTTGAGAAAACTCTTTAATGAATCCCATGGAATCTTTGTGGGCCTCCAGAAAATTGAAGAAGAATTGACTGGAAAATCCAGAAAAGCTCAGTAAGTAGGCTGCTGATAGGTGCTGAAGTCCACAACTAAATTGTGAATAGCCAAATGAAATGCATCCTTGTTCTTTTGTATGATGAATGGATCTCCTGGAGAAATAAGGGACTCCTGGTTCTACTTTGTGGCCTCTCTAGTGGGCAATGTAGGTGGTCAGTGATGGAAATGTCTTATAGGGAATGTACAAATGGCTGTTGATTGACTTGCTGGCTTGATAAGTTTTCTTTTTTTATATTCCTACTACATTTACCCTCCAAAGAAGAAAATTTAGGCCAAATAAGCACCTGAGAGTCATTAAATGAAGTCCCACTATTGGGAGACTTTGGAATTAATATAAAAATGAGTTTTGTCTCCTCTTTAAAGAATTATTCTCAAGGCATTTTTTGGCAAGAGACCAAGAAACTATTGTACTATTTATAGACTAGAATCATTTGAAGTGTGGTTCATGAGTTAACTGTATCAATGTCAGGTACTTTTTAACCCCACCTCAGATCATCAAAATCAAAATTTCTGGAGGTGGATCCTAAAATCTCCAGGTGAGTCTTAAGCATAGTGGAGTTTGAGAACTGCTGTTAGGTTTTTATCAGTGTCCATTCATATGGTTAGGGCATGGGCAGTGTTGATATTTGTATTGAAAAAAACCCAGTTTTTCCCTACTCCTGTGTTTCTCCTTTACTCTCACACTGCTACCAACTCATAACAACAGCTTTGTGGAAGTTTTCTCCTGCCAAGCAATTCTCTGATGCCAGCTGGGTGTCCTACAATTTAACTCAATTCTACCTGGAGATATTATCAGATCCCACAAGGGCTCAGATGCCAATTGCAAGTAGTGTGTCCCCAGGTTACTCACAACTTCTGTCCGACTTGGCTACAAATCAGAGGTTCCCATGACCCCCTCCAGTTTGATTAATTTGCTAGAGCAGCTAGCAAATCAGGGAAACACTTACTTAATGTTTGCCAGTTTATTAAAGGATATGATAAAAAGGGTATAGACGGACAGCCAGATGAAGAGATACGTAGGGCAAGGTCCGGTAGGATCCTGAGCAAAGGAACTTCTGTCCTCGTGGAGTTGGGGTATGTCACCCGCCTGGTACGTGGATGTATTCACCTACCTGGAAGCTCTTCGAACCCCATACTGTTAGGATTTTATGGAGCCTTCCTCACGTAGGCGTGATCAATTATGAATTCCATTTCCAGTCCCTCTCCCCTCTCTAGAGAAGTAGGGGTCGGGGTGAAAATTTTAAGCTTCTAATCATGGCTTGTTCTTTCTGGTGACCAGTGCCTGTCCAGGAGCTATCCAAGAGCCCACTGAGTCGCCTCATCGAAACAAAAGATGCTCCTAGTGCTCCTATCATTTAGGAATTTAGAAAGTTTTTAGGAGCCCTGAGTCAGAGACCAGGGATGAAGACTAGATATGTATTTCTTTTTTTCCTTTTTTGCTGAGGAAGATTAGCCCTGAGCTAACATCTGTGCCAGTCCTCCTCTACTTTATATGTGGTCACCACCACAGCGTGGCTGATAAGTGGTGTAGGTCTGCGCCCAGGATCCGAACCTGCAAACTTGGGCTGCCGAAGCAGTGTGCCAAACTTAACCACTATGCCACAGGGACAGCCCCTATGTTTCTTATTATAAATCACAATATTACAGTATTTTACTTCCTTGATAAGCATTTTACAAGTGAATCATCCTGGAGGATACCCAGGTCAGCTTGTATGTGGGTGATTACTGGTTTCAAGAGGCTCTGGTACAGAATATTGGTGACTCAGAAATCTGTTACCACTTAAGGGAAAAAACATGTCAAAATCTTGTAATTTCCTGAAGGAAGGGACCCTGTCTTATTTATATGGATTGGCCCTCTGTTCCTGCATCTCCTTGCACATCTGTACAGTAGGTGCTCTAAAACATTTGCTGAATGAATAAATGAGTGAATATGTGAATGTCCTACTAACGGTGGGATGGTAGCTCCTGTTTTGTGCACGGGGGGTGGCCAGCATATCATGTTTTTTTTTGGCTGGTGAGTTATTTATCTGGGCCTGAATCTTGACTGTGAAAAGGGGTACAGAGTAGTGAGGATTAGGTGAGATAATGTATGCAAATTGTTTCACCCCCTGCCAGCCCTATTGTAGGCCATATATAGAAGGTAGCTACTATTCATTTTTATTTATTTTTATTTTTATTTTTTTGTGAGGAAGATCAGCCCTGAGCTAACATCTGTCACCAATCCTCCTCTTTTTTGCTGAGGAAGACTGGCCCTGGGCTAACATCCGTGCCAATCTTCCCCCACTTTATATGGGACACTGCCACAGCATAGCTCATTTAGCGGTGATTAGCGGTGCCTGGGTGGGTGCCTGGGATCTGATCTGGGCCGCCGCAGCCGCAGCGGAGCGCGCACACGTAACTACTAAGCAACCGGGCGCCCCGCTGCTATTCATTTTTAAATGGAGCCCTTGGTGGCCTTAGGTCTCTTCATCTAGAACTAATAATGTTTTTCTTGCTAAAGATCTGCGTGTTGGTAACTAACAACCAATTGCTTTCTTGTGGGTGTTTTGTTCTATTTCCTTTTTTAAAAACTTTATTTTGAACTAATTTTAGACTTATACAAAAAGTACAAAAATAGTAGATTTCTTACATCCCTCACCCAACTTCCCTAATGTTAGTATCTTACATAACCATGTTACTGTTACTTAAACCAGGAGACTTAAACATTGATGCAATACGATTAACTAAAGACCTTATTTGAATTTCACCAATTTTTCCACTAATGTCCTTTTTTTCTCTTCTGCAGTTAAATGAGGTTGCATTTAGTTTTTTCTTAGTCCCTTTCTTTTTTTTTTTTTTTTTTAATTTT